TAACAGTTTCATAGCCATTCATCTGCAGCTAGAAATAGAAAAATTAACAAGGGCATAGGCATTGGGTGGTGAGCCCAGTGGGTGTACACAGCAGAGCTTAACTAGAAATAAGCTATGCAAATTGAGCTACGTCAATTGCGTAGCTTATTTTGAAATAGTTTATTTCAAAATTGGGAGCATCTACGCAGCACTTATTTCAAAATAGAGCACTCTTCCTCTGACTTCCCTTACTCCTTGTACAATGAGAGTTGCAGAAGTCAGAGTAAGAAGCCCTCCAGCTTCACAGTATTTGGACATTATTTTGAAATAACTGTTATTTCCAAATAATGCTGCTGATTAGCTGTACCCAAAAGGATAAGTGCAGTGTAACATTTAGGGCCCAGTCTTCCCAATGATTTCAATGGAAGCACAGGTAGACCCTCATACAAGGAGAAAAAAAATAATTTTAGTGGGAATTGCAGGTGCTTCCACATCACACAGCAGTGGGCTCCAAAGGAGGAAAGCACAGGCCATAACCAAGTTGGTAAGGGTTGAGCTAATCTAGGCAAGAATGAATATTGACTAAGTTAACAATAACATGTTTGATCAATCTGTTTTTTACTGTATGAAGAACATAAGAATTAACCAGTTCAGTAATGTTAAATGTTCTAGATGCATAAGCCTAAATACTCCTCCAGGCCACACATCACAGGCTATTTGAATGCAGAGGGAGAGCAATGGTATGTGAAAAGAGGAGAAAGATCAACTATCTGAGGGTGCAGACTTTGTTGGACATCAAAGCTGCCACTGGTGTTTATTTCATAGACTCATACATGCATAGTTAATCAGTATACAGGCAGTCCCTGTACAATCAGTATACTTACGTCGCACCCGCACTTACGAACGGGGCTTTTCTCGCCCTGGAGGACACGGGCAGCAGGACCTCCCAGATGCGCCGCGGTCCTGCCACCCGCATCCTCCGGGGTGAGAAAAGCTGCTCCGCGTCTCCCTGGTCTGCTGGGAG